ACTTTTTCAAGCCGTTTGGAGTGGCAGTATTGCATCGTTGAAGACAAAAACAGCCTAGTCAGGGAAGTAATAGTCACTGTACTTTTTGTATTCATGCCTCACATTTGATTTTTATATTTAGTTCAGATTGTTACTTTTACTGTTTTTTATTTGTTGTATTACAAACTTTCTTTAAGCCGTTTGGAATGGCAATATTGGATTATGGAAGACAAAATAGCCTAGTCCGGGAAGTAATGGTCAGTATACCTTTTTTTAATTCATGACTCACTTTCTGTGCTCCCTAACATATTTGAAGGGTTCAGGAAAAAAGGGGCCAAGTCACAATTACCAAAATGTTCAGAGAACCAAATTTAATTTAGACTTACTAAATACAAACTTTTGATACTTTAAGGTAATTGATTACAAAAAGATGTTACTTTGTTTAAATGTTGCCTGATTATATTGTAGTTTACCACTTCATTTACCAGATAACTGTAATTTTTTATTCTAAATACTGAAAATGCCAAACAAACCGCAGGAAAAGATGCTAAGTCCTTGGACATAATTTTAAATGCACTGTTTTGCATTTGCTAATACTGGTATTTTACAAAATAGGGCGGACCAGTTCAATTTTGATAAAAATGTGGCTTAGCTGCTTTTTTCTTCCGGTACTCTTTTTGATTTATAAGTTTATTAATATTTATTTTTGTTCTAGATAAAACTTTTCAACCTCTGTGAACAATGACTTAACTTTAAAGCTAATTAACACGCTACATTTAATTGTTCTATTTGTATTTTTTTTGTTTTAATAAATTAATTTTGTTGATCATGCTTTTTAATTTTTTGTACTAATAAATAATAAAATATTTCAACTTGTAGTCAAATTAGGATTGGTTCATACTACTCATTTTTTGGTTTATTGTAACAAATATAATTTTATTGCTACAATAAATAAATAAAAAAGGAGTTAGTATGAACAAATCTTAATTTGACTACCACTTTTGAATGTTCCCGCGTATTGTGTTAACTAAAGTGGCCGCGAGATGGCGCCACTTCCGTCCAAATAGTTTAAAGAACGCTCACCGGGTACTACAAAACTGTCTCGAATTTTAATATTGCAGTTTCTATTCTAAAAGTAAGTGATCTGTGGTCAGTTTATTTCAGACCGCTCACTAGGAGCGCGTTTAGATGATTTTACATGCGAGTAGACTAAATTTTCTTAGATCGTTTGCCCAGACTACTCTAGAGTAATTCTCATTGGCCCAACATTTCTGAACGGCAACGAAAGTAAACGTCAACGAATTTGAAAATTAAACTCTTTTTTACAGTTATTTGTTTACAGACATTTTATTCCCTTATATAATGTTTGATGTTCCTCGCTTCTCGTTGTTACTCGTGTTTCGTATAGTTTTTATTTTTTACTTATTGATTTTTGTTTAGTTGTTTTTTTTTTCTTTTTATTTCAATATTTACCTTAGCTACTATTTTTGCCAGTTTCACCCCCTGAACGAAAAGCCTCTAGCGAGGATGAAACTTACCTCCTAAAATCTTATTTTGAAGGTTTTTTTACCTATATTATAATCCCCTAGTTTTAAATCGCTAGTGTCATCAATTATCCGTTGTCGCAAATTTTCCAGTGATGTTGGCTGGGTGGCATACATTTTAGGTTTTAAGTGGCCCCATAAAAATCTAACGGGGTTAGATCCGGAGACCGTGGGGACCACTCAATACTTCCTCTTCTTCCGATTCATTGACATGGAAACGTTTGAACCAAATACTGACGAATAGTCAGTACAAAAGTGGGTGGCGCACCGTCTTGCTGGAATATTAAGTAGTTTGCTATATACTGATCGTTATTCTCAATCAACTCTAGTAATGCTGGATAAATGTCATTTTCTAATAATTCCAGATACATTTCTGCGGTTAGAGTTCCAGGTAAAAAAATGGATAATTAAACGGTTACCAAAAATTCTAATCCAAACATTCTGTTTTTCCGGATGTTGCGTATGCATTTCATAAAATATTCTGGGATTTGAATCGGTAAAATAACGACAGTTGTAACGATGTACCGTACCATTTAGGAAAAACGTGTATTCGTCAGAAAAACACACGTTGAAAAGAAATTGCTGATCATTTTTGCCACTAATCTGAGCTAAATTACATCGACTGAGCTTAGTTGTACGTCCTTTTTGTAATTATAAGTCAGAATATTTCTTCCACCTTGCCGATGCTAAGGTACACGGGTCTTGAAGTACCATAAACCATAACAGAAAATGAGTGTTCTGTGCATCATACGAACAAACATCCTATGAATTAATTATTCAAGAGAATAGAATGCAATAGAATTTGATAACAGGGGGCAAGATCGTGGTGTTGAATGTTAAGAAATTATAAAATTCGTGTTCTTTTTACAGCTTAGCTTAGATCAGAATCTAACTTTTTAGTTAGACAAGTATACCTGTAAAAAGAAAACTACTATTGTCTACGATTAAAAACAGGTTTACTAAACAATGTTTATAAAATAGACAAACGATTTATTCAATAATTGTTAAAAAATATACAAAAGAAAACACTAAATTCGATAAAAAAAATCAGAAATTGCAAATGACTAATCCTTGCATACGACATGACAATTTTGTCGGTTATAAAATAGCGGCCCTGATCATGCGCAAAAATTTTTGGATTAGCTATCCTTCGCTTCTGTAAGTAGGTTATTCTGTGCTTATAGGTGACAAATGACAGGCACGCGAAAATTAATTTGAATATCGAATAGGTACTTCAATTGCCGCGTTTGAGAATCCACATCGGATGCATCTGAGATGTTGTGAATTTTTTATCACGTGATAGAGAATGTAGATGTAATAAACAAACGCTCTAGACTTTATTTGGTCACGTGATAAAATGTCAATGACAAGTTAGAAGTTTATACTTATTAAATTTGACTTTTGAGACTACAAATCAACCTAAATTTGAAATATAAACACTGCGCAGCTTTCTGAGTGCCTTTTAAAAGGAGATAGAAAACTCCGCCATTTTGATCCCTTATTACGTGTTGCCTACATCTTGGCGCAATAATTTTAATAGGTGCGTTTTAATAATCCGCTTCTGCTTCGGAATTGTCGGTTTTCTTGTTTTAATCTGACAGGTTAAAACGACTGAACCGAAAATTCCGGAAGCAGAAGCGGATGATTAAAACGCACCTGATATTTTGCTTGCTGCTGTCAGTGTCAGTGAATATTATTTTTGGAGTCACAGTTTATTGCTAAAGAATCAGTTAGCTCACTCGGACCAGTTGAAAGTTCCAAAATAACATCCACTCCAGGTATACAAATTCAGGATACACAGAAGGCTGCTGTTTTATTATAGGCGGTTGTCATATATTGTATTATCCGAGTTGCGCAGTGTATAAACTGGAACATTGAGATCAAAAGTGCCGACGCAGAGTGAGCGATCTGATTCTTTAGCAATAAACTGTGGCATATGAATCAAAATGGCCGCGCCACATACTTTGATTACTATACGAGGCAAGAGAGAGGTCCGACACGCCCACATACTTTGATTTTCTTTTACTATACGGAGAATGGTAGCTTTCTGAGTGCCTTTTAAAAGGAGATAGAAAATTCCGCCATTTTGAACCCTTATTACGTGTTGCCTACATCTTGGCACAATATTTTTAATAGGTGCGTTTTAATCATCCACTTCTGCTTCGGAATTGTCGGTTTTCTTGTTTTAATCTGACAGGTTAAAACGACTAAACTGACAATTCCGGAAGCAGAAGCGGATGATTAAAACGCACCTGATATTTTGCTTGCTGCTGTCAGTGTCAGTGAATATTATTTTTGAAGTCAGTTTATTGCTAAAGAATCAGTTAGCTCACTCGGACCAGTTGAAAGTTCCAAAATAACATCCACTCCAGGGATACAAATTCAGGATACGCAGAAGACTGCTATTTTATTATAGGCGGTTGTCATATATTGTATTATTCGAGTTGCACAGTGTATAAACTGAAACATTGAGATCAAAAGTGCCGACGCAGAGTGAGCGATCCGATTCTTTAGCTGTAAACTGTGTCACAGGGTTCAAAATGGCCGCGCCCTATGTTGGGCGTGTCGGACCTCTCTTTTGCTTCGTATAGTAATCAAAGTATGTGTATTATTCACTGACACTGACAGCAGCAAGCAAAATATCAGGTGCGTTTCAATCATCCGCTTCTGCTTCCGGAATTGTCGGTTTAGTCGTTTTAACCTGTCAGATTAAAACAAGAAAACCGACAATTCCGAAGCAGAAGCGGATGATTAAAACGCACCTATTAAAAATATTGCGCCAAGATGTAGGCAACACGTAATAAGGGTTCAAAATGGCGGAGTTTTCTATCTCCTTTTAAGAGGCACTCAGAAAGCTGCGCAGTGCAACCATTCTCCGTATAGTAAAAGAAAATCAAAGTATGTGGGCCGCGCCCTATGTTGGGCGTGTCGGACCTCTCTCTTGCACCGTATAGTAATCAAAGTATGTGAGATGTAAAAAATGTAATCTGAACAGGTACATCTGGGATAAACAAACGCAGATGTAGATGTAGTAGATGTGTCCGATGTGGATAAAAAAACGCTCGAGATGTAAAAAATGCAACCGATGTGGATTCTCAAACGCGACAAATGTTTAACACATGTAATATAGGAAGTTGAATAAATGCAGTAAATTTTTAACTCTTTTTAAGGTGAAAAAAGAAAAGGTCGTCTTCCTCCAGGGAGGTCGTAAGTTTAGCATCACGTGATATAAGTAACACTAACTCACACATGGCTACGTTCAGTATTAAAAACCTTCAATCGCAAATATTTTCTCATCTTGGGTCAACAAGTGACTTTTATGGGATATAATAATAAATAATGTATTGTATGTACTTATCCATCTAAGAAACCGCAAAATTTTGAATTTAGTCAATAATTTTACGAAGAGAAATTAAACAAGTTTATAATTATTTATGAAAACAATATATTTTCAGAATCATTTAAACCAATTTTTTTTTAATACAAAAATATCACCAGATGACACAATAATAACAAGAAAGTATAAAAACTTTAAAAAATATACAATCGCCACGTTCGCAAAGCAAAAAAACAAACATTTAGTCAACCAAACGATTAAAGTTTTAACCAACCAAATATTTCATATTAGCAATGTAAACGTGGTGGCTTAACAAACACCAAATAAAAAAAGTACCTTGAATTTCATAAAAAACAATAAATATAAATTGCCGTTATTACATTTTTTTATATAATTTAACCTCCACATTCCATTTAATCAACAAATAAATTAAACTAGAAGCAGACGCTGGACTTGAATCGATATGAACTGTTAATGTCAATGCAAACCTTGACAACTTTGACATTTATAAATAAAAATATCTATCTAACAGAAATAAATTTGATAATAAAAATAATATGTAAATTATATGACTGCTACACACGAAGCCTCTAATCTACTTTATATATTTTTTGTAAATAGATATGAAGGAAAACATTAAAATATGACTTTATTCGTGATTCAATTAAAAGGAATTAAGGCAACTTTTAAGGAATCGATTACTTCATGAGAGAATGTACCACCGTTTTTGCATTTAAAGCTTTTAGATCCGTATAAGTCTGTCCCGTTCCGACGAAGACGATTGGTTGGCCGGTTACGTACGTCATTGATATTGCGGCTCCGACCTGAAAACAAATAATTGTGTAATTTAATGAGTTTATCAACTAATAGTCAGTGTGAAAGTACATAGCAGAACTAAAACAGTCATGGTTACGAAGGCGTAGAACCGCCACAATTTTTTTTTTTTTTTCAAATTCCGACTTGTAACTCGGAATTCCGACTTGTAACTCGGAATTCCGACTTGTATCTCGGAATTTCGACTTGTATCTCGAAATTCCGACATACAACTCAGAAGTCTGAAATCACAACTGATATTGAATAAAGACCTCGATTAAACGTGCTGTGTATTTTGATTGGCATTTTTGAGTACGCAATAAATTTCTTAAATGTAGTAAGTGTAACATATTATTATTGTGTTTTATTTTAGCGTTCAGTTATTGAGACACAGTGTGCATCTCTATTCATGGCTATGAGTTCCTCAAATAATGTAAGTAAGAAAAATATTAATGTGTATAATTTTATTCGTTTATAACATATTTCTATTAATAAACAAAATGTATTTACCAGTCAAGTAATACAGAAGATCTGGCAAAGACATATTTTTCATAAGGAAATTTTACAATTCTTGAATATACTGCACAATAAGTGTGTTTCCCTTCGTACCTAGCAAAGAATTTTGAAAAAACGTCAACTACATAGACGAAAAAATCGAAGATGTTATGAATTTTATAGGAAGCGAAATTAAAAAATCTGGACAACTTCATGGATATCGATGGATGCACTTAAAATGTCTCTAAAAAAATCTTGTAGTCATCCAAGATATCGTCAGAGAACTGCTTGAAAAGGTGTGGAAATTGGATAACGAAAACGATTGACGTCGACAATATCACAATAAAGGTCCAAACTATTTATGGCACATTGATTCATACGATAAACTAAAACCTTGCATTGGCGGATTTTCTAGACAATAATTTGGCTTCGAATAGGACCTACAGCTAGTGATCCAAACGTAAATTACTATAAGTGTAATAACGATTATTAAGCATTCCAAACAGAATGGTTGTCGGTCGCAATAATGGTAAAAAAACTAATTTCGGTCTCAAAAGGCAATCATCGGATCAGGGAACAAAAATGTACAAAATGTGTCCACATTTGGAGAAATCAAATTAACAATATATACTTTAATTGCAGTGGCTCAATGAAGAACGTCTTGTATATTCCACGGTGAACAAAAATAAGAAAACCTCAATAAAATTACCAAAAAATTAAAATGTACTTTTAGTTGAAAATATACCTTATACAGATCCATGCTCTTACATCAAATAACAATGAAAATATTATCATTTGAAGTGATATAACAGTACCTACTAGTACAGAAAATATTCATCAAATCATAGAAAAATGTGATAAAACATTTCCTAAATAACAATTATGAAAAAATAAATAATGGTAATAACGAAAATATGTATTTTCCATCCAACAAAAAAAATAATTCACATTACTTAAACAGAATAGTAAAACTAAACTCCGAAAAAAAAACCTTTGTGTGTTTCATGTTATCACTTACTGCTCAAAATTTAATTTTTGATAAAATTTCAGTCTTACGTCAAAAAACCATTACTAATGTGCCTTTCTGAACCACATCTTACTGATGAAATACTTTATTCTGAAATTACTATAACATAATAGTTATAGGGTTAATAGTGACAGTCTGCACACTGGTGGGGCTTTAATCTACACAAGTAATCAATATTAGATTTACTTAAAAGATGTTTAATCGAATGTTGTATTATGAAATAAAATTAACGTGATTTTTTAATATCAAACAGATGCAACGACATTTTATGTAAAGAGAAGACAAAAGTTATTTCATAGAATATTTCGTTAGCGTTTATTTACTAGGTACTTTTCTGCAAGAGACTACAATAAAATGTTAAAATAGAATATTGTTAATCGAGCAAAGAATGGTATTCATTGTCTACGAGTATATTATAATAGCAGCATGTGCGCAACCTTATGAGTTGAATATTATATTTTTTTACGGCTAATATTAAAAATGAGAAAATGATATATTGTATTGTAACTTCAAAAAAAGTATATGAAAGCTTCTTTCTTTGGGATTAATTAATATAGAGCAGTGGTTCTCAAACTTTTTTGGTGACGGAACCTTTTTGAAAAGTGAAATATTTGACGGAATACCTTCTTGCTGCCTCTTGCCAGGCCCGTTTCTTTGCGGAGCCCCTACAACAAAATTCTCAAAAAATCATATCCATATACGCCTTCCTCTTCCTGACTTCTGAAAAAAAAAGTCTTCCAACCCAAAATACCAAAATCACATACACCTTCCTCTTCCTGTCGTCTAAAAAAAAGCAGGTCCTTCAACCCAAAATACCAAAATGATATACTCCACTCCTTACAAATTACAAAAAAAAAATTGAAAGATCCTCAAGCCGATTCCCGCTGTAGCGATAGGTACTGCTTTTTGTTTTCACGGAGCCCCCGCAACGGCTTTGCGGAGCTCCAGGGCTCCGCGGACCACACTTGAGTAACGCTTATATAGAGGATGTGTCACATAAATCTCTAGAATGCATATTTCTCAAACCAGAAATAATTAAAATTTGAACCTAATAATCGATTAGTTTTAAACAATCTTTTTTTTTTCGTATATCCTTTAAAATCGATTATATTTGAAAAGTCTTAAATAATCGATTAATTAAAAAGCCGATTCACCATGAAATCGATTTTTCCGAAAAAAATAATCGAATTATCAATCTATTTTCTTTTTGTAATTCCTTTAGAATCGATTATTCCATGATCTTTGAAAAAACTAAAATAATTTATTAAAAATGTTCGATTGATCGAAAATAATCGATTAATTATAACTGATAAATAGATTTTCTTAAAAAACCGAATAATCGATTATTTTTGCAACTCCTATTGGCCACTTGCTTATATCCGAGCATTTTATCTCCAAAATTTAGATATTCAGATTTTTTGATCTTGTAATCTTTAAAACTGCATTCAATTGTATGATATTAAATATTGCAAGAATTTAGATTTTTTAGTAAACCAATTATTTTCGAGTTGTTTAGGATTTTATAATGTAACATTTTATTAAAAATGTGACGTAACTTTAGTATTTCTTTTTGCTTATACTATTGAACGTTTTACTTTGTTTTAGGACTTTAGGTTCAATGTCACTTCCGATTTGACTGCAAATAAGATGAAGGGTCATCCTGTATTTTTTTATCCAATATTCTTATAAAAATACGCTAAAAAATAAAATTTCGTTAGCATTATGCTTCTTTATTTCTTATTTACGTACCAAAAAGGGCGAAAAACTACTAAATATTATTATAAAAGTTATAAAACTTTTTAAAAACAAAATTTCGTTCTCATTTACATATGACTAAATTAAATGTTCAAAATTTTGCCTTTTTGTAAATATATGTAAGTACTATAAAATCTGTTTCCTGAAATATTTTATGCTTAATGTTTAGAGAAATTCCTTAATATCTGAAGTATTCAGCTTAAAGAATCATGACGGCTTCTTTTCAAACCGTTAATGCGCTAGTTCAGTGATGATGTAACCAAAATATGATTACCGAGATGATTACTGCATTTTTTAACAATACTCAGTTTACAAAAGACAGAAAGGTAACACTTTATTTATAATTTGTTTTAATAGTAGGTACAGTTCATCAAATTTCTAGAGGTGTTCGACGCCCAGACAGAGAACGCGCTACGTGTGACTAAGATAGCTATTGTACAGTCAGCTAAACAAGTTATTTTAAATAGTTTTTAATATTTTTAGGTAATTAAATTTTAAAAGTGTGGAATAGTTTAGGGATTAAATTGGTCTGATTGGACTTTCTTAGAACGTTTTTAAAAGCAGCTAAAGATAGTATGTAGAATTGAAAATAATTATTATGCCATAAAAGGTGTTTTGGAATTCCTTCAACCTTTTGAAATTGAGTCAGAAAATATAAATTTTATAGGATAGCGGAAAATACCTATAATTTTTTTGTAGGCCTTTGTAAATCGTGGAAATAGTTTATATTTTATTTCTACCTTATTAAGGAAAATGGTACCTATTATTAATAACGGTTGTTTCTGAAACATTACTAAAATTTTCGAAATTTTGTTTTTCTACAAAATAATAAACTATACTATTTAGAAAAAAATTTTATTTCTCTTATAATTTTATAAAAAATAACGGGAATATTTACATTTCTTGATCTATTAAACAAAATGATAAATTATCTCGACGAATGACACCATGTTCTAGTACGGAAGCTAGCTTTACATTTTTGTTGGTGGTTTCATGGGTTTCATATCAATTTTTTGTAATTGTAGTTTACACGTACATATACCTCTTAACACTTGTTTGCTTTATTAAAAAAGTGTGTTGTGATTTACGTCGAAATAAGTCAAAAACAACTTGAAACCCCATATAAAATCAAAAAGGATAAACGGAAAAAAATTGAGCCTGTAAATGAACACAACTCAGAAACAAAAATAGCTATCTAATAATAAAAAAATAAAATTTGATTCTTGTGCAGCTTCATCTATATCATTAACTGTTTTTGGTTTTTTAATGGTTTTTCTTGGTGATGAAAATTCCGATATCTCACGGTTATCGATTCTTTTTTTCTCTCCAGAAATGCGGACGACAGTGTTTTTAGATACTCCTGTGGCTGCAGCAACACGATCATTTACATTTTTAAATGGTATTGAAAGTGAATTAAAGTTTCCTTCTCTTCTCATAAACTCTATAACATTGGCTATTATTTCGCGAGATTAACTGTTAATCACACGGCCTCTTAATTTGCTATTAAACTCCATACTTAGGTTCTATTAAACTGTAATGAGCAAAAAACACAAACGAAAATAAAAGAAATGTTTTAGCGAAATTTACATCTGACATTTACGTCTGAATGAAATAGTGAAATACTTGATGCGCAGAGTGTACTTTCATTGCGTAAATCCGTCGGGATGCCTGTCAGTAGTGCTTTCTCTGTCTAGCCGTCGAAAGCCTCTAGAAATTTGATGAACTGTAGTTACA